AATATTATTTTATATAACATTAGCTATTTCGTGTTTATAGAGGCAAATGAAAGGAAGGGGTACAATCGTCTGATAACATAATTCAACTATGGCAGCAATAAATTTGAACCTAGAGTTACCTTTTTTTCAATTCGGAAGGTTGTCAAAGACTCGGCGCCCTATAATTGAGGAACCCAAGAATATCCCTTGCTGATTTCGTTGGTCTCTGAAGAATTCCGACACCGGCATCAACTTCGCGGGTTCCCTTTTCCTCTGAAGTTTTTGCCGCCGGAGTCCATCGTCTCTCAGGTAATTAATCGTGTCATTCAATTTTGGGCTGTTTTTATTGTTTGGTAGTTTGATACGATTGCAACCGATAGATAGTATTTTTAATCCATTTAGGGTTTCTTGGGTTATGCATCTGTGTTATTGAAGATTTCAATCCGAAATTCAAACGAAACGCTGGATTGAAAACCTACATTGCAGAAAAAACCGTTCCGTTTCACGTAACTCGACCGATGAAGACGAGATTAAGCATCTCGGTGTTGTACAGTACAACACGGTTAAAGCGCAATTTGATGAGTCACGTTCGTCACGCCTGTTTACAGCTATTGCCTTCCTTCTAATTTTCCCCTTCCTCGCTCCTACCTTTTGGATTGGTGCAGTTGCGCTCAAAGTTTGCGTCACTCGTCAAACATCAATATTTGAATTTCGAATATTCCTTTTAGCATCAAAATTAGGGAAAACGTGCACCCTTTTGTCGCATATCTGTTTCTAACAATTTTTTTGCAAAAATGCATCGATTATCTTTCTTAATCGATGCTATCGATTCAAGAAAATTCATCAAACCAAAGACAATAACTACTGTATAATATTCTATTTAAAAATTCTTTTTGAGAGGAGCATGGTTTTGTGCGTATTATTGGTGGATATGGGCGGTGGGCCAATCAATAAATTGTGTACAATTCTACTTTCACCCTCATGTTTGAGATAATTGCAAGTATCACAAAAAGTGTTTACAAAGTGGACAAATCCTACAACTTTTGGTGGTGTTAAGTAGACATCTTCATTGGCCCATACCATCTCTCTTTTTTATGCTCGGTATCTTCTTCTGGGATTCTTTTATGCTGCTCGAGGTTGACAATAATCGTGGCTCAAATATGTTCAATAGGTTCCAAATCAAGTATATACTGATATACTTAATACTTATGCCCCTATTTGTATAAATAATCTAGCCTCATTAAATTCTTTTCCCACATGAATTCTCGTTTCTTGGAACAAACGATGCGTAAATCTAATGCTTTCAAGAACATTTTCTGTAGATAGGAAGAAGCTTCGCTTGGCCGACTCTGACTGTATATATAAAAAGGCTTCGCGTGGGCTGTCAATAGGCACGTTTATTGGCAGCCCAAAGAACGACTTCAACCAAGACCCACTACAGGTAAGCAGCTACTTGTCTTTCAACATACACGTTCTTTTTGACTTTCTTTGCGCGTTGTTCATATTTATTAATTCCAACAAACTTAGGTTTGTTTTTGTCGTATTTATATATTCATAATTGCTTATTATATGATCAGAGATTCTGCATCGGTGATTCCAAGATTATGGGTTCGTTGTCTGGTTTATTTCAAAGGCCGGTTGTTGCAGCCTCTGCTGTTGCATTAGCTTCTGTTTCTACTGATCTTCGTGACAGATTTTTTCCATCTAAACCGGATTCATGTCCTTCATCAGAACAATCAATTGGCTGTTCCTCGGATTTAATCAGTGAAGCAAAATGGGCACAAATCTCTGATTCTAGTGTTTCAAAGCTATCTTTTTCAACAAAGAGTCGGATACCTGTTGCTAATTTCAGATACCCAACAATTCATATACCCAACAAGATGGCTTCTGATGTTGCGTTTTCTTCTGCTTTACTCAACGTGTATAGATCAGCTGAGTTGGCAAAAGCTCATAGGCCAATCGATCATGCTCATAGTATCCCAACAAACATGTCTACTGATCTCATTTACAGATGGCATTTACCACAGCCTAATGCCATTGGTTTATCAGAAAACTCTAAAATGGTGGTGGTTTTGCTTGGATGGTTGGGTGCCAAACAAAAACATCTCAAGAAATATGCAGATTGGTATACCTCAAAAGGATTCCATGTCATCACCTTTACATTTCCCATGTCTGAGATTTTAAGTTATAAAGTTGGAGGGAAAACGGAAGAGCATGTGAATTCGCTTGTGAATCATCTTTCTGAATGGTTGGAAGAAGAATACGGAAAGAATTTGGTCTTTCACACATTCAGCAACACCGGATGGCTAATGTAAGCAAAAGCAAACCCTTTTCATCTCATATTATTATTATTTTAAGAAAATCTTATCTTTATGACATCTGTGGTTGTTTCTATATCACAGATATGGAGCCATCTTGGAAAAGTTTCAGATGCAAGACCTTACACTAATGGGGCGGATTAAGGGATGTATAGTGGATTCTGCACCTGTCGCATCCCCGGACCCACAGGTAGTTATTGTTTGGTTAAGTAAGATTTCTTTTATTTATTTATTAAGTAATGGTTTGGTTTGTTTTAGGTTTGGGCTTCGGGTTTCTCTGCTGCTTTTCTGAAGAAAAACAGTATTGCAGCAAAAGGACATAGAAATGAAGGTGACATCTCTGCCAAACCAGCAATGAGTGAATCGGCTCTGTTGGTGGTTCTTGAGAAGTTCTTTGGCGTGGTTTTAAATCTACCATCAGTTAACCAGTAAGTTTGTTATCATTTTGTATGGTGGAATCAGGGAAGGAAGGAATGGAATGGTTCATTCCATCCAACCAAAGATAACTTGACTTTACTTGTGTTTATTCAATTTACTTGTTTTCACATTTCAGGAGGCTTTCGAATGTATTAGTACAGCTGAAATCCGGGCAGCCAAGCTGCCCGCAGTTGTACATCTACAGCAGTGCGGACAAAGTGATTCCTGCAGGGTCAGTGGAGTCTTTTATAGAGGCACAACAGAGAACAGGGCGCGTGGTCAGGTCATGCAACTTTAAGTCAACACCACATGTTGACCATTTTAGGAATGAACCTGAGTTGTATGCTTCTCAGCTCTCACAGTTTCTCAAAGACTGTGTGCATACTTCTTAAAAACTTGATGATGGTGTTTGACACTGACCTTGATTCTTTTTCCTATTCTTTGACATGATGATCTATATGATTTAATTTTTAAAGTGGAATATATACACGAGGGACAATAAGTGTTGGGTTTTTAACACTTACCCTTTAACCAGATCCTCTTACTATAATCCGATTGTTACTGAATATAGATGAAATTACAATGCTACATAAACGACTCTGATAATGGTATCTGTAAAAATGTTGTCTCAAAGGGGAAACGAATACCACTACTAGTCTCAAACTTGCACCCATAGACCATTTCATGGTACAACATTTTAATGAATAATCTGATATTAATTCGAGCTTTATAAAAACAAACGGTTTGGCATGTGTTGTAGAATTTGGATTCATTGATTTCTTAGTTGAATTTGAGATTGTAATCTTTATATCACATATAATTATCACCAACAAATCCTTAATACGATCACGTCAGCAGTTCTCCATTGGTACACATCTCATGCCCATAGATTATTGACATGCAAAACAATGAAAACTTATATTTTTCATTGACCTCAATATGATTCATGGAAAACAGATCGTCATTTCAAGATTGTTGACTTGAAATTGATTGCAAAATCTTCAAATATAACTATTACACCGATTGTGAATCCCAAAATGAAATCATGAATTGTGGAAATAAGAATAATCAATAATCACGAATCTTGCACAATCTTTTACTTCTTCTATCCTAATAAATAAAAATGTTTTTGCCAAATGTCGCACCATCCTTCGTTTTGACACATGACATTTTCTAAGAATTTTTGAGTTTTTTTATTTTCCACTTGTTATTTTATAAATTTTTATTTTTTTTAAATTCTATATGGTATTTATATGTAATAAATGTAATAATAAATTAAAATGAATTTCAATGTAACTTTCCTTTTTAATTTCAAACTTACTAAATTAAATAAATTCAAATAATGCACCATTTTGATTGCATTTATTTTGAAATTTTATTTTAAAATTGCTTAATGTTTACGGTTTAATATATATATTTTTTAATTTTTAAATTAACCCGTGTAACACACGGGTCTTACAACTAGTTATTCTAATAAATAAAGATTTTTTTTGCCAAATGTCACTCTCTCATTAACTTGGACACATGTCATTTTCTGCTATTTTTTAATAAATGTTTTTTTCATGTGTCTTTTTTTTTTCTTGATTAACACATCACATTTACACGTCAATTAATAATTGACTTAATTGAAAATAGTCAATAAATTACAATATTACTACTCATGTATTGTATTTAATATGTTTCCTTTTAAATTTAAATTTTAAATTTTAAATTTCAAATCTAAAATTTCAATTTTAAATAAATTTTTGTTTAAACTTTCATATTTAATTTTTTGTTTTATCCAATCCGTATAACATATGAGTCTCACAACTAGTATTTAATATTAAATAGTCCAATGATTTCATTATAAAGAATATTGAGCAAATGAAAAAGTTGAACACATAACCAAATTATATGTTCTAATCATAGAAGCTAAACATGAAAATGACTTATGTACACAGGTAAACGTAAGCCATTTTCATACAATTTATAATTGTTATGTATAATCTAATTGTGTGTTGAATGTTATCCATTTTGCATATTACAATATAATTTCTTCAAGTATGAGAGCTCTCAAAAATTTTCTATATGTAGAATGCTCTCAAATTATTAAATGTTTCAAGATGTTTTAGATGATTGAGTTTTATTTATACTATTTTATAGTGACAAATCGTTTAACAAAATTATTATTTTTAAAATCCTCAATTAATTCACCACTTATAATAAAATACTAAAACTTCGGTCTAAAATTTTATAAACATAACAAAAACTAATATCATTTGATGATATGATTGTTGCTTCCATATCATTTTTAGATGAATATGATTTTTGGTTCCATTTCCTATCATTTGGTACTTTTCTTCTGGTTCCGATCATGTCGGGTTTCGACCCGAAGACCACCCGTTGCTCAATCATTATCGGAGTTAGCTCTGCACGATCCAAATCTTCCTTTTGGTCCCCGTTGAAAATCCATAACTCACCAGATGACAGAAGGAGTTCAGAAGACTTGAATTAGGGTTTCTGATTTCCCACGATTAATCGATCAATCATATACCAAATGGGTGAAATCGGCGAAAAAGGCATAGCAGGGGAAGGAGAAGAGACGTGCATTAACGAGCGATTAAGGGACGACGAACTCCGAGCAGTTTTGGTTAAACTAGAAACCGACAAAGACAAAGAAGTTTTCGGTCTTGTATGCAAGAAATGGCTCTATCTTCAGAGCACAGAGAGGAAGAAGCTCTGTGCTCGTGCTGGTCCACACATGCTTCGTAAGATGGCTGCACGCTTCACTCGCCTCAAGGATCTCGATCTCTCTCAATCCGCATCACGTTCGTTTTATCCCGGAGTCACTGATTCAGATCTATCCGTCATCGCCACTGGTTTCACCGCCTTACGTCTACTCAAGCTTCAAAATTGCAAAGGTCTTATTTGATTCTTTATGTTTTTTGTTCTCGCCTCCAATTGATGTTCTGTGATATATTGGAAGTGATATGCTTGTTCTGAATTAACGAACCAGACTTGTAGAAAAGTCATGGTTTTGGTTTGCAGGGATGTTCTGACTTCTGAACTTCGGTTGAATCTTTATAATCCTTTCTGTTTGTGTGAAAATTTTCGCTTTCTTTTCTTGTCTCATATTGTATACTGTCTAAACGGTTGTAATTGCAAGAACTCTCAATCCCCAATCCCCAATCCCCCATCTGAATTGCGTTTCACCTCTTGTTGGAATCCTTATATTCTTTTATGCATATGTGGTTTTGCAGGTATCACCGATGCTGGAATGGTGGCAATTGGATCGGGTCTTTCATCTCTACAATCATTAGATGTTTCATACTGTAGAAAGCTAACTGATAAAGGATTATCAGCTGTCACGGATGGCTGCCATGACCTAAAAAGCTTACACCTTGCTGGTTGTCGCTTTGTCACTGATACCCTACTAAAATCCCTCTCTAAAAACTGTCACAATTTGGAAGAATTAGGCCTACAAGGTTGCACCAACATATCAGACACCGGACTCACCGCTTTAGTAGACGGATGTAAACACATAAAGCATTTGGATGTAAATAAATGTACAAACGTGGGCGATCTTGGAATTTCCATCATAGCAGAAGCCTGTTCAACTTCCTTAAAGACATTAAAGTTACTAGATTGCTACAAACTCGGGGACAAATCTATATTCGCATTAGCTAACCAATGCAAGAATCTTGAAACCCTCATAATCGGAGGATGTCGGGACATATCAAGTGATTCAATAAAATCACTAGCTGCCACTTCTCAAACCCTGAAGATCTTGCGTATGGATTGGTGTTTAAATGTTTCAGATGCTTCATTGAATTGCATACTTTCACAATGCAGTTGTTTGGAGGTGTTAGACATTGGGTGCTGTGAGGAGGTGACGGATGCTGCTTTTGATGGACTCCAGAATCCAGGATTCCATTCCGGTTTGAAGGTTTTGAAAGTTAGTAATTGTCCAAAGATTACAGTGTTGGGAATAAGTATGATTTTGGAGGCGTGTAGGTCTTTGGAGTATCTGGATGTTAGGTCTTGTCCAAATGTCACGAAAGCTGGTTGTGAAGAAGCGGGATTGAGGTTTCCGGAAGGTTGTAAGGTGAATTATACGGGAAGTTTAGTGGAGCCTGATGTCTTAAATTGAAAATGTTTATTTATGGAATAGCTTGAAATCGGCTAAATATTTTTATTGTGTGTGCATATATGTTGATTGATGTTGAATGTTTTATTGAATATGTTTGTGGTTGAGAAGTGTTTTGTTAATTGTTTCAGATTCAAATTCAAGATCAAACTCAGACGAGGTGTGTTATCTCATAGTTTTTGTTTGTTTAAGGCTACTTGTGTGGTCTTCATGAAATATTGTCAACTACAGTTGTAATATAATATCTAATATCTTTCTGTTTTCACTTTTCTGACTTTGTAACACATAAATTTTGGGTAGACGTAACTATAATGTTTATAAACAACTCAAATAATGACACCCTAAGACAAACATTTGATCATGTTGCTAAATTGAACAAAACAGCTTTAAACACCTGTATTAAGAATTGTTTGATTGTTTTTGTGGGATTCGGAATTGTCTGGAAGAGGAAGGATTTTAAGTATTTAGTATGTTTTGTTGACAGGATTTGATATGTAATTGAAATCTTTTAAAAAGTTGTATATTTATAAAGGTTTTGACATTTGATTAATTAAGTGAAGATTGTATTGGGGCAAAAAGTAAAAATTTGTCACAGCAACCTAATGTGACCTGTTTTGCTGACATGCAATTTTTAATTTTTAATTTCTATTTAATAATGTAATAATAAGATTAACAATCATATCAAAATGGTGTAAAAACATAGGATGATGACATTTTTAGCTTTTAATAAGCAAGTTTGGTTTTATGGAATCCACCAATTTCAACAAAGTTTAATTTCATCCAATTTTACAACTACACAATAAATTCTATCAAATTCTCTTAAGTTTCACAAATTATTAAAATTGGCTAAAGAAAAACTCAGATTTCATTTTCTCATCTTCCACAGCTTAACCTTTAAGAGAGAGAGAGAGAGAGAGGGAGAGTATATATGTGTATTGTATTTCTTATGCAAGTCACATGTTCTTTCTAGTCATGACATGTCAATAGATAAAAACAGGATCTTAAAAGTCTCATCACCAACTGCTTTACACCTCAATATGATTAAGTTTAAGCCAAATAAAGACCATCTCTCACAACCCAAATCACTTTCCTTATTTTGCTCATCACTAAACTTTGTTGCTTTATCGTCAACCGATAAAAAACATGTAAAAAAACTGTCAGCATGACAGAAAAAGGTAGCTATACACAGTCAAAAGCAGCCACAAATATTAAAAAAAAGCAAAGTAGTGCATTCGAAAAGACTTAACTACCAACCACCAGTAACCATAAGACATGGATGACTCATCAAAATAAAAAGTTGTCAGTTTTATTCAATCTCTAAATGCCTATAAATGTCTTCTTTCAAAACACATAACCCACCAAAATCAGCATTTAGCTTCAGAAATAGCAGAGGCAAATCACCCAAATCACAGCAAACAAACGTCAAGATATGGATCAAAGATTCTCAAAATATGAAACTGGAGTTGCGATCAAATCAACAAAGGGACTACTATTATCTAAACCTTATGAGCCCCATTACCCTCTTTCTACCACTTCTTCCAAGATTAATGGCATTAAAAGAGAAGGTAATTTTGCAATCTATTAAAAATCACTACATAATGTTCTATTTCTTTCAATTCAATTCTATCGAGCTTATACTGTTTATATTTCTGTAATATGCAGCAAGTTCAGGGCCCAAATTAATCGAAATCATGAAAGAGATGTTGAGTCATGGTGCAAAAATGATTCAAGTTGGAAGCCAAAGAAAAATCTTCAGGAAAACCTTCAGTATCCGAGAGGGAGAGAAGCTGTTGAAGGCTTCTGAATGCAACTTATACACTACAGCAGGTGCAATTGCAGGAATCCTTTTTGTGTCTACAGAAAGGGTTGCATTTTGCAGTTACAGATCCATTGAAACATATTCTACCACAGGCAAGCTGCTAAAGTTCCAATATAAGGTGTCAATCCCGTTAGGAAAGATAAAAGGAGTAAGAGAAAGCATGAACATGAAGAGGCCATCAAACAACTATGTGGAGCTAGTGACCGTTGATGATTTCAACTTTTGGTTTCTGGGTTTTGTAAATTATAAGAAAACCTTAAGATACGTTCATCATGCAATCGGACTCAATGTTTAAGCAAATGATGTTTGTAATTAATCCTTGATTTGATGTAAATTTCAAATGTAAAGTCTTACAGAGTTACAGTTATGCCCACATTTTGGTGGTATAACTACTTAACTCTAATGAGAAAAAGATGTATGTTGATATACTATCTCCTTGCCTTAATTTTTGTATATTAAAAGCTTTGGACCATAAGAATTAATTTTGAAATTGTTCTTTTATGTGACAAAAATTGCTTAGAGTATAATATGGTTTCTCCAAAATTTACGTCAATAACCTTGAACTAGCAGTTATAGAATAAGAAAGCTGAATTTTCACCAATTTACACCTCAATCCCCTTAAAGAAAATAAAATCCAACATCGCAGTTTATATTTCCTCTTACTTAGCATGCTAATGTATGCTGCAGGGTAACCTGTTGTCATTGTGATTATAATATGCCTATTCCAATTCCGCCCCTGCCGTGTACATATATAAACTTATATTTTCAAAAAAAAATTATATTACTTTCTTATATTATTTTGAATGACAAGCCACATATAATTTCTTATATATGTTTGTGTGTACAATTCACGAACAAAATCATAAGATGATCAGTGTGTTCTTGTCTTTTTATAAGCAAGTAAAACAATGAAATTGAATTTCATCCACTACTTCTAATTAGAAAGATAAATATTTTGATCATTTGATGGAGTCTTTCGGTCTTAATAATTTTCAGTTCCCTCTAATTTTCTAACCAAACAAGTAATGAATTGCAATCTTTAATTTCATTTCCACATAATTTCTTTAATTTCCGCAAACCAAACATAATGATCCGAATGCCCGATCATGCTACAACCTATAATATATATGAAGTTTGGTTAATTAAAGCTAACTATATATATTAGTTACTTTTACTTCATTTTTCCATCTTCGACAAAAATTAACCTTCAAGAGAGAGGATATATGTGTATTATGCATATCACGTGTTCTGTCTAGTCATTACATGACAATGTGGAGACAAGATCCTGAAAGTCTCATGACACAACTTCTTTACACCTCAATCTGGTTAAGCAAAATAAAAGATCACCTCCCCACCACTTCCATATCACTTTCCTTAGCATGGTCTTATAAACTGCATTTTCGGATATAATCGTACGACCAGATAAATAACTTTGAAAGAAACCGTCAGCATGACAGCAAAAGGTGGAGATACACGGTTAAAAGCAGGCCATCAAGAAGGTAAAGTAGTGCTCCAAAAAAGACTCAACTACCAACCACCTGCACAGTGAGGATGAGATATGAATGACTCATCTTACTAAAAGTTGTTCAAAGTTATTCGATCTAGCTTTGTATGCCTATAAATATAATGTGATCAGTACTCAAAACACATTACCGGCCACCAATTTTCAAGAAACCTGAATCGGCAAAGGCAAATCATACTTTCAAGGAACCCGAATCACATCAACATACGTCAAAATGGATCATAGATTGTCAAAACATGATAATGGAGTTGCGATCAAAACAGCTAGGGGACTACTACTATCTAAACCTTACGAAAGAGAAGGAAGTTTTGCAGCCGGCATTAAAAATCATGGTAATTAACTATCTAGCACTATATATATTACTTTAACTACAAAATGGTCTACTTCTTTCTTTCAATCGATCTTAATCTGATTATATTTTTGTAATATGCAGCGAGTTCAGGGCCCAAATTAATTGAAATAATGAAACAGAAGTTGAGTCATGGTGTCAAAATGATTCAACTCGGCAGTCAAGGTAAAATCTTTAGGAAAACCTTTGGCATCAGAGAGGAAGAGAAACTGTTAGAGGCTTCCCAATGCTACTTGTACACTACAGCAGGTGCAATTGCAGGCATCCTCTTTGTGTCTACAGAAAGGATTGCATTTTGCAGTGATAGGTCCCTTAAAACTTATTCTCCCACAGGCGAACTGCTAAAGTTCCAATATAAGGTGTCAATCCCATTAGGAAAGATAAAAGGAGTAAGAGAAAGCATGAACATGAAGAGGCTATCATATAACTATGTGAAGGTAGTGACTGTTGATGATTTCAGCTTTTGGTTTCTGGGCTTTGTGAATTATAAGAAAACATTAAGATACGTCCGTCATGCAATCGGCTCGAATGCTTAAGCAATGGATGTTTTTAAGTAAATTGATGTAAATTTCAAATGTAAAGTCTTAGAGTTATGTTCACATTTTGGTGGTACAACTACTTTCTCTCATCAAAATAAAAAGATGAATGTTAATATATGATAATCTCCATGCATGTCTCGTTTTTTTTTGTGACCTTTTGAGCCATATATATGTTAAAACTTGAAGGCTATTTGGTCTATTTAATAGTGAAAAGTTGGTATGAATTGCCTTGTTTATTCATTGATTTTCCAATGTATTTATACGATTACAAATCTTTATCAGAAACTAACCAACTAGGGAAAAGATAAACATAATGAAGTTTAAATAGAGATAAAATTAAATGCCAACTAATCTTATCACAGCTAATCTTATCGTTTCCTAACATCCCCCCTCAAGTTGGAGCATGGGGATCAAAAATGCCCAACTTGCTAACAAGACAATAAAATGCAGATTTTCCCAGAGCTTTCGTCAAGATATCCGCTAGTTGTTTAGATGTATGAACATAAGAAGGTTTAATGAGACCATCAACTATAGCATCACGAACAAAATGACAATCAACTTCAATGTGCTTCGTTCGTTCATAAAAAAATGGATTTTGTGAAATGTAGAGAGCCGGTTCACTGTCACAAAACAGATCAATACTTTTATTGTGATGAATGCCCAAGCTAGCAAGAAGACCTTTTAACCATTTCAATTCACACGTAACAGCTGCCATAGAACGATACTCCGCTTCAGCGGATGATCGAGACACGGTATGTTGCTTCTTCGTTTTCCAAGAAATAGGAAAATAACCTAGATACACAATCCATCCAGATAAAGATCTTCGAGTAATAGGGCAAGCAGCCCACTCAGGATCACACCAACCACTCAAGATGAGAGGACTATCGACACGTGTAACACCGTAAATTTCAAAACAATTTTTTTCACTTTTAAAGATATAATTTCATTCAAAATTATTCTCAAATCTCAATGTATCACATATCAAATCCATAAAAACACATCCCAAGATCAAAATGTGTAAAACTTCAATAGTGTGTACTGATCATGCCAGCGTCTTCCCGTGATCCTCACTGGTACCTGAAACACATAACACAAAACACTGTAAGCATAAATGCTTAGTGAGTTCCCCAAAATACCACATATAACACATAATAGCCACTCGAGGCTGTAACTCTATGGACCCTCCGGTCCTAACTCTGTGGACCCTCTGGTCCTAACTCTGTGAACCTTCCGGTTCTAACTCTGTAAACTCTGGAACATACACGGCATGAATCACATAGAAATAATGCAGTGTATCACAATCACATAATAACATACAAGATACTCTGTCACATAACTCTAATTACCACTCTAGGTAAAGTATAGTGAGAAGACTCACCTCGGGTAACTCGGTAAATCTCGAGCTCGGTAAAATCTGGTCTAGCTCCCGCCTAATCACATGGAATAAGCACTCTAATCAATACAACCCTCAAGGCTTAGACTAATCCCTCTCTTAGTACTCTCAGAAGGGTAAAAGACTATTTTACCCCTCTCATGGCTCAAAGACCCTAATATTGACCAAACCCTAAAAGTCAACAAAAGTCAACGGTCAAACTTTGGCCTAGACTCGTCGAGTGCACTCGTGTGACTCGGCGAGTACATGCATGTCCTCTTCGCCCCTGGTCCTCACTCGACTCGCTGAGTCAACCCTACACTCAACGGGTTATCACAGGTCGCGAATCGCGGGGCAACCCGACTCGACTCGTCGAGTCCACTTATGGACTCGACGAGTTCCTCCCATGACATCACTCATCTGACCTCCTGAGGTCAGATCTGCTTCTCTAATCTATAGATCTGACTTCCCCATGACCAATAAACACGTAAAGGTCGAATCTTGCTACACATGCAATGCTCCTAAGGCTTATTTTGGTGAAATCCCTTCTAACATGGCAACCTATGTCCATTTCCTCCATAGAACCACAAAAAGCAGGATGGTTCAGGCTCTCTGGACCTCAAAAGGTCCAGATCTAGAGTTTAGCACTCAATGGGACACTATACACAACTAAACAAGCCATAAAAGGGTATAGAAAACCCTAAATTCAATGCCCTTAAGCAAAACAGGAGGATAGGATCGAATAGCTACCTCAAAGTTGAAGATCTAAGCTGAAAACCCACTGAACTGCAATCCTCTTGACCTCTCCTTGCTGGAAACACTTTCTCCTTTGCAAAATCACACCAAAAATGATCAAAAAGGCTCAAACTCTCTCACAACTCGCTCACAATCGCTAGGGTATCTCTCTCTGGACTGGTAGCCGCAAATGGAGGCCATAAAGGCCTTTAAATAGGGCTCAAACCATGAGATTTAGGGTTTCATTTTACAGCGCGGACTCGCCGAGTCCACGCATCGACTCGTCGAGTCCTTCATTAAATTAGACAAGAATTCGCGATCCTACTCGGCGAGTCTGAGCGCCTACTCGCCGAGTCCCTCCCTAAAACTCAAGATAAATACTTAAAATAAGATACCTGGGAATCCGGATGTTACAATTCTCCCCCACTAGAATCAGACTTCGCCCTCGAAGTCTTGCTCAACAAACAACTCTGGATGCTGCTCCCGCATCTCCGACTCCGGCTCCCAAGTCAGCTCGGACCCTCTCCGATGTTGCCACTGGACCTGCACCAGGGGCACCTCCTTGTTCCTCAGAACCTTGATCTTCCGATCCCGGATCGCGATTGGCCTTTCAACATAATTCAGGTTCGCATTCACCTGAATATCTTCCAGCGGCACCACTGCCGACTCGTCGGCTATACACTTCCTCAACTGAGACACGTGGAAGGTGTCATGAATCTGGCTCAACTCCGCAGGTAGCTCCAACCGATATGCTACCCTGCCCACCCTCGCGGTCACCCTGAATGGCCCAATATACCGGGGCCCCAGCTTGCCCCTCTTCCTGAATCAAATCACTCCTTTCCAAGGAGACACTTTCAGGAGTACGAAGCCTCCCACCTGGAACTCAAGATCGGATCGTCGCCTATCCGCATAACTCTTCTGGCGACTCTGAGCCGTCAACAACCTCTGTCTAACCTGCTGTATCTGCTCGGTTGTCTGAAGCACAATCTCAGTGCTGCCCATCACACGCTGCCCTACCTCTCCCCAGCAAATAGGAGTCCAACATCTCCTCCCGTATAACAACTCGAAGGGAGGCATACCAATACTCGAATGGTGGCTGTTGTTATAAGAAAACTCAGCCAACGGCAGATACGTGTCCCAACTTCCCCCGAAGTCCAACACACATGCTCGGAGCATGTCCTCGAGCGTCTGAATCGTCCGCTCGCTCTGACCGTCCGTCTGTGGGTGGTAAGCGGTACTGAAATGCAGCCTCGTACCCAACTCCTCATGGAACTTCTTCCAGAACCTGGAAGTGAAACGCACATCTCGGTCTGACACAATCGAGATCGGTACTCCGTGCCGCGATACCACCTCTCTCACATACAATTCTGCCAATCTCTCTGCAGAAGAGCTCTCACTGATAGCAAGGAAGTGAGCGCTCTTCGTCAGCCGGTCGACAATCACCCAAATCGCATCGACACCCCTCACGGTCCTTGGCAATTTGGTGATAAAGTCCATGGAAATCTGTTCCCACTTCCACTGGGGAACCTCAAGTGGCTGCAACTTGCCGTGCGGACGCTGGTGCTCAGCCTTAACCCTGCGACAGGTCAAGCACCGCTCAACAAACCATGCTACATCCCTCTTCATACAGGGCCACCAATAATCTTTCTTCAGATCCAAATACATCTTAGTGGCCTCGGGATGGATTGAGAACCTCGATCGGTACGCCTCTTCCATCAAAGTGGTGCGCGTCCCGCCTGCATACGGCACCCAAATCCGACCCTGAAAGGTCATAAGCCCTCGGCTATCGGCAATGAACTCAGGTACTTGCCCGATCACCCGTTCTCTCTTGCGGTTCTCCGGTCTCATGGTCTCTACCTGGGCCTCCCGAATGGTATCCAACACCGGAGTCATCACTGTCAGCCGCATACAAATGTCTCGAATCGGGGCACTCTCCGTCCTATGGCTCAGGGCATCAGCTACAACATTAGCTTTGCCTGGGTGGTACAGGATCTCACAATCATAATCCTTTACCACGTCCAACCATCTCCTCTGGGGCATATTCAGGTTGGGTTGATCCATCAAATACTTCAAGCTCTTGTGGTCCGTGTAAATGGTACACCGAACCCCATACAGATAGCGACGCCAGATTTTGAGGGCGAACACCACTGCCCCCAGCTCCAGATCGTGGGTGGGATACCTCGTCTCATGAGGCTTCAGCTGCCTCGATGCATACGCTATCACATGCCCCCTCTGCATAAGTACTGCACCCAACCCTGATATCGACGCGTCACAATACACCACAAAATCCTCTATCCCCTCCGGAAGGGCTAACACTGGGGCTTCGCATAATCTCTGGCGAAGTGTCTCGAATGAGGCCTGCTGCTCCGGGCCCCAACTGAAAGTCACGCCCTTCCGGGTCAACCTAGTCAGAGGAACAACAATCTTGGAGAAATCTTTAATAAATCTCCTATAATAGCCGGCCAACCCCAGAAAACTCCTGATCTCGGTGGGGGATCTCGACACCTCCCAACTCATCACCGCCTCAATCTTGGCCGGACCGACCAATATCCCATTCTGGTTGATGAGGTGTCCTAAGAACTGGACTTCTCGTAACCAGAAATCGCACTTGGAGAATTTGGCGTAAAGCCTCTCCGATCTCAGAACTCCGAGGATCTCCCTCAAATGCTCCTCATGCTGCTCTCTGGATCTCGAATACACCAATATGTCATCGATGAACACGATCACTGAACGATCCAACATCGGCCTGCATACTCGGTTCATGAGGTCCATGAACGCTGCCGGTGCGTTGGTGAGCCCGAAAGGCATCACCACGAACTCGTAATGTCCATAGCGAGTCCTGAATGCTGTCTTCTGGATATCCTCATCACGCACTCTCATCTGATGATATCCCGACCTCAGATCAATCTTGGAGAACCAAGACGCTCCTTGCAACTGATCGAACAAATCG